ACACACACACTCAGAGCTGATCCTAAACAAGGACGTTCAGAGATGCCTTGCTTTCAGTTTTTTGCTGTACTGTTTTTGGGCAAATGAATGGTAAAATACAGCCCCATTTCTGATTTGAGTGTACTTACTGTTTTCAAGATTTTTCTCCATCACCATCCCAACAGCAGTGTTTGAGAGCCTATAATAACAGATCTGTTCACAGCTGTTCATGAGTGTCTCAACATTGTCCTATGTGCTTACTTCCAGAAGATAATTCTTGTCTCTCCAGTTTGAGTATAGGTTTGGTTGAGATCTCCTTGGATCAATAATATAATGTAAAAACTGATAGCTCATCTGACTGACAGCTTAGTTGATATGGAACAAAGAGCTGCTATCCATAATCCTCTGTTGCATTTGAAAACTTGTGCTAGTTGAAAGAAAACTGTTGCTGAAAGTGTTTTTAAATTTTTTTTTTTTTAAAAACCCAACAAAATACCAAAAAGCCAAACCTCCAAAAATTAGATGTTTGTAGTACTCCACAAAAGATGAGATATATTTAGTCTCTGTAGTTTAGTTTCTACATAGCAGCTGCTTTACTTCCTGATCTTATCTTGAAACTACACATCATCATTTTATAAGATTATTCACCACCATAATACCTGCATGATACGTATTTATTTCTAACCATGATAGCTCTGTGGGAAAGCCAGTTTTGATGAGAGGCACTGGTTGTCATGCTTGCTGACTCTGACCTCTCCCATTCCTGATGTAGCTAGTTATTCTGGTAATTTGAAATGTCCAAGAATCAGATCATGCTAGTATTGCTGTTGGATCTACAAAGATGATTTTAGAAGTCAGTGAGGCCTGACATAGGTGCCTATCTGATGGAGCACTTGATTTTGCAAAAAACATCTTGACTCAAGGCTTCATTCTGAACGACTTATGTCAGTCTTAGTGCAATAATGGTGTAAGGTTAACATATTAGCAGATGATCAGAAGTTAATTATGTAAATACTACAATGTCTGATCTTAGTTTTTTAGATGAACAGTTAAGAAGGGCTGAGCTGTAGTAATGGCAAGGCTAACAATATCTTTATTTTTAAACTCATTGAGAAACTGATAGCCTTTTCACTGAGTAAAAGCTTAGTGGTTTATGCTTTTCATACATTATAAATCACTAAGAAATAGAAAAAACAATTGACTTGCTTTGCATGTGTTTAACACCTTGTTCTAGTTGTGCTGCTTTCTTCTTTTGTAATGCATAAAGATTGGTCAAATAATAAATTGTATATATGCGATATGATAATGTACAACATGTATTTATGTACTATGATTCCATAAATAGAGGAAATATATAACTCTTTGTAAATAGACTGCTTGCCAAACTGTATTGTCAGATTGCAGCTGCTCTTTCCTTTATCTCGCAGAACTACATTGTGTTGTGAGCAACCAGTGTATCGCATATTATTTTTGTGTGCAAAATGGTAATGATAAATTGAATGTTGAAGGCAAGCACTTAGTCTGTAGGAGGACTAAAAAAGAGTCTGTGTGTGTTGAAATTGTGGGTTAGCACCTGCAAGGAAGTAAACAGAATTATTTGCACAGTGAAGCATAAAAAGTATCTTACCAAAAATGTTACAAGATTTGAAAGCCTTTTTTAAAGTGAAGTAGTAGTCTCCTGCTTCAAGTGAAGCAGGAGTCTTCTGCTTTTAGACTATGGATCTGCAATGAAATCCATAATTCCATTCTATGCAAGGAGGCTTTCATTTGCTTTTGCAAAAATCTTAACTGATGTATTATAAGTCTTACTTGTTTTTACTAACTGCAGGTATTGGTGAGTCACAAGCCTTGCACCCCATAAGTTTTCTGAGTGATGATTTACTATACTTTTTTTTATTTCTTACTACATTAATGCTTTCCTTGATTTCTTCTTTCTATTTCCCATGGCAGCTGAAAAGAATTTGAAACTGATTTTTAGTTGATAGACTAACATGAATTGATGGGTTTCCATCAGACATGTAGCACTACTCTCCATCAAACTTAGAACAGATACGGTCAGTACATTAGAAGTGATTGCAAACTATCCTGCTTTGAACCCAAGATGTGAGATAAAACCAGTGATCAGTATAACTTAAGGTAAATCTATGCTTTGTTCAAGTGGCTTTCAGCTAGCTGGTCTCAGTGCTGAGAGGAGAGGCCAGCTCGGGCTCGCTGCCTGAAACACCTATTTATTGAGCAGGTAGTCTACCTGAAACTTGTCCTGTTGCTTGTACTTAGTCAGTATCCAACCAAACGAATCTAGACTTGGCTCAGGTATACCTGTACAAACCACAGTTATGCTTTCTGATTATATGTTCATGACTTTAAAAAGCCTGTTCCTGAACACAAAAAAAAAACAAAACATGCTTTTATTTTACTGCAGTATTGTTCTGAATCTGAACGTGTCTTGTGTGTAGGTTTTATTTTTTTTGAATTTGCAACCATTTTTATCAAATTTAGACACATCTAATGAAGCTGCAGTTCATTTAATTCCTGGGAAAATAGTCTGGGTGCAGTAGGAGCTGTGGAGAAGTGCTTTTTGTTGGAGAGGCAGCATGGAGAGAAGGGAATGGAATTTTGTGTGTGAAGGGAAGAAAGAAATGAGTGGAGGTTAGGGTGGAGGCTCAGAGTACCTAAAGTGTTGTTTGGGGAGAAGGAGGGTCTAGCAGGGATGTACCATAGATGGTGGAGGGAAGGAAAGATGTGTGAAGAAGGCATGGCGTGGAACTGGCCAACTTTTTATTATACTCTGGCATTTGAAAGGCTTGCCTTTGTGTGTAATGACGCACTGAGAGATGTCGGTAGGGCTTTTCTGCTTTGTGGAGTCGTGCAATTCCTGTAGCTGGTCATGTAGTTTGCTTCTCTGACCTCCCTCTGCGCTCTGAAAGATATAAATATGCACCCAGCTGGTCCATACGAAATGCCTGTAGGCAGTGAAGTGACTTCCCTGTTTTCATCCTGACACAAGAGGTGTGTGTATGTAAGGGGAACTAATATGAAGGAACCTGTATCCACAAAAATCTAAGCCATGTATTTTTACTAAGATAGCACCTCTCAAATCTTATGTCAAGTGTTGTGAGAACCTGTTCAGGATATATTGTAAATAGCATAATTTCTTCTTCCCATGATTTCTTTCTGTCTCATCTGCCTGCTGCACTGTACAATTGCATTGAGATTATGTGCACTGTGACGTGAAAGCTTCAACAATGTTAAGTTGATAGGACATACGGATACAAACATACTGCATTTAATCTGTAATCTTGGGTTATTCAGGACAAAGTGGAAATACGTGCGTTGTTAGTGCATATGTGAAGCTTACCTGAACTATAACAAACCCTTATGGGATCTAAATACGTATTTATCACATTGATTTGTCCACTGTAATGGGGTTTGTCAATTTGGTGCATCAGAATAATAAAAGGTCCAATTCAACAAAAAAAGTTATTCAATAGAAATCACTTCACATTGCTCATTATCACATTTTGTTTCTAATAAATAAAAGTAATGTACAAATGTGTGCTAAATATGGTTTGTAGTGGCACAAATAAGAAAATATAATTGTATCCAAGCAGATATCTTATGTTTGCTAAAGTATCTGATTCTTAGTATTAAAATGGTTGTAAGTGTGGGTTGCTTGAGTGGAAGTGGATGCAGAGTTTCAAATGCACATTCTGCTACTCTGACTTTTCTGCTGTGTCATTTTGGAATACACAGAGGGATACATCTTCCATCTAATGAGCTGCTTAAGTGGAGGTGAATGTACGAAAATCTTAGGTTGAGGAATTACTTTAAACTGTATATTGTTGAATGGAACCATGCTATGATTGTCAGAGTGGAAAAGGAAACCTTTTTACTCTTCGAAACTGCTTTATATATTGCTTTGTATATTTTGTTGTGAGAGACAGGCCTAAGGTAGGGTGGGGATGTTGCTGTATTTCAGACTCTAGTATTTAGCCTGGACTAAAGTTCAGGCCATTTTTGCAGAATGTTTCAAAGCTTAAGGGAAAGGCCCTTGGGGGGGATGGGGGTGGGATTCAGATCTTTAATCTCTTTTGTACAATGAGTAAGACTTTCAGTCATAGCCAGACTTTACGGCCTGTACACAATGCACACATATAAATGTGCGTATATAAATTTCTGTTACAATTTAGTCAAGTCTTGCAGAAGAAAAATAATTTTTTCTAGGTGTTAGGGTTTCTAGATACTGTTCATTTTTAAATACTGTTCTTGCTGGAGTATACTTCCAAGAGTTTTCTCTGAACTACTTGTATAAAAATCTAAGTCCAAACTTTGCTCCATAAACCTTTGCATTCATTGTAGTGTTCTGTTATTTTTTAGACTTCAGATTTTTGCTGGTTGATCCATGCTACTAAGGATTTTTTTTTTTCTTGAGCAATATGGGAAGAATTTGCCCTATGTGGAATGTCAACAGAACTGATGAGGCTTAATTGTCAGCTTTAATAGTTGGGGGTTGTGTGACTGAAAACTTTTGTAACAGATGTCATAAAGGTGCTGTAGCTAAGCGTTTTAAATGAAACATGCTGTACACAGTTGGACATTGTTCTTTTGGAATATCCCCTCCTCATGCATAGTAAATTTAACCCTGGTTTTTAAAAAGTGAAAACAAAATACACTTTTCCATCTGATTTCTTGTGGCTTATTTTGTGGGTAATATGAGCAGCATAGCTGCCATTTGTTTATTTCTAATTTGGAGTAGCACCTTCTTTTATCAGTAAAATCTTCTATGTAACAGTTCTCACAGTGCATTGTAATAAAATCATGTATTTTACTTATCAAGGCTTAAGCTGGGTAATTTTTAAGTTCTCACCAGGAAACTTGTAGTTAAGTAGCAACTTAAATAACATATTCCTGCCTTTGGGACATCTTTTAAGTAACCTGTTAGGATTCCAGCATTTCTGTTTCCTCCTGTTAGGAGATTCTTTGTCTCTGGTTCCTTGGTGAATTCTTAGCATAGTTGCTCTTTGGGATATAGCAAATTCCTTTGAGGAGGAGGGGATGGTTCTTGTGTGTAGCTAGTTATTCATAGTTCAGCAAATCAGTTGTATCTACTGCTTTAGATAGTGCTATTCCTGTTTTGCTGTATTCCTAGTTTGCAATTAAAACAAACAAACAACGTTTTTCAATTTTTTGTTTAACTTCTGATACTTGCATCTGCTTCTAATGGAATGATTTTTTTCCTGATACAGTTGATGTCCACCTCCTTCCTTCTCCCTTCATCTCTCCCTCCATTCCACTTGATAGCAGATTACTTAGCCAAAAGAATCTGTAATGTTTACTTGCACTGAAGGCCTACACCTTTAAAAATGGTGAAGACATTCAGAAAACATAACTTGGGAATGCATTGTTTACTTCTGGAAACTTGCCAATGAATGTACTTGATTTAAAATACTGATTTAATTTGAAATTCCAGTTTCTAAAACTAGTGGGATGAAGTATCTTATGTGAGCGGTAACGTCCTTCTAAAATACTTGTTGATTTGAAATACATGAGGGAAAAAACCCTTGTCTCGGAGGGATTCAGTTTTGTGTTTTGATTAGAGCTGTTTACTCTTTAAACCATTGTAACATTAGGCTAAACAGAATCACCTTGAGCCATTAGAGTCTGCCTTGATAAGATCTAAAGAAACCTCCATCTGGGCCTATGGTGCACTTACGAAGCATTGCCTTACCTGCGTAGATGTAATCATGGCACTTTAGAACCACAATTTTTTTCTTGCTTGCCTGGTTTTCTGCATTTCTGTGTCGTTCAGGTCTACGCCTGAGAAAATTATATAGATTTGGGATGTTCAGTTTAGCATTCAATTTCTTCTTTTAATATCTTTGAATAGCTAGAAGGCTTTCAGCTTTATTGTTACAAATGAGCTTTGATGGGCTTTTGAATGCTTTCTGCTCTGGCTGCTGCTGCTCAGTTAGCTCAGGACAACACATTCCCTTCTGCGTTTTCTTTTTTTTTTTTTTTTAAAAAACAACTTAGTTTCATGCTCCAGTTGGCATCTGAAGAATTTGTAAGCCACTGAAATCGGTTTTCTCGATGAAGGAGATTCTTAAAATAAACATTACTTTTGCTTTCATCATAAATCATAAAAACAAACCAAGGAAAAAAAAGGGTTAGTTAGGTAATACAGCCCACTTGGAATTGGTTGAAAGGAGAAGGAAAGACAAGCTAAAAGGTGTTAGGAAGTTGTCAGAATCCTCGGTGAGAATGCTGTGTTATATACATGAGTCTTGAGAGTGAGCAACAAAGCAAGAGCAAAGTAGGTAATGTAACCTGCTAACAACTTTTTTTTTTTAATTTTTAATGACAACTTTTAATTTTCAAGGGGTTTTACAATAAACCTGATTTCTGTTAGTAAGGACCAATTGAGGAGGGGATGCAGAAAGGCAGCTGTTTCCTAATGGCGATGAATAGCAATTAAAACCTTTTTACACTTTCAATTTAATGTCTAATATTTTGTGTACTAATTGCAGCTGTACCTATTGGAGAAATTTTGGTAAGAAGATGGTAGTTTATTTGTAAGGATATGAAATATGGGAAATAAACTGATATAAACTATTTAAAAACATTTCAACATCCTGACAGTAAAAAAATCCAACAGTTTAAGCTTTGTCATTTTTATTATTTTGTCACTCCTTGTTTTTTACTATTGTCATATTTTCATTATCTCATTAGTAGATCTGTGTTGTTCATGACCTCTTGCTTTTTGCTTTACAGTCTTATAAATATCAGATTTAAATGGAGAGGGGGTGGTTGGCATGGGAAAGTCAGTCACATTTTGTGGCGAGCATTAGAGTTTAACTGATGATGTCCCCTCGTATTTGCTCCTTTCAGTCAGTTTGGTGTAATAAGCTTTTTTTACATCCTACAGCTTTTTTTTGCATTTGCAAATGAAGAGAAGTTTTCTGAAAATGGATGGATGGTGTACAATCCAATGTCTGAATACAGGAGACAAGTGAGTTATTAAAGTTGCGGCTGCCTGGTGATTTCATATCTGACAACTCACACAGAGGAATTATTGTTTGTGCATTTCTGTTATCAGCTCTTTTGTGGGGGGAGCTGAGAATGGGAGAAGATGGAAATAAAACTTGGAAAAAAAAAAAAGAAATAAAACAGTGGAACCTTTAAAAAAATTAGAATGTCACAGGAAGGTAGTCTTTGCTCTTTGAGGGGAAGTTACTGATATTTCTTACAAGATGCCACTGTTAAGTGAGCAGGGGGCAGGAAGAATGTGCAGATATGTAACTACAGTCTCCTAAATATAGATTTCATTTGGACTTTGATTTGGTCTACTTCTTCCTGAAGTGAAGGACAAAAAAATCAGCTTATTTTAGAAACTGCATTGCTCTTACAGAAGTTATTTATATGTCTGTCAGTATTCTACCTTGCTTTTTAGTTGATTTTTGAAAAATGTCAATGAAAGAGGATGATACATAAAATTTTAAAATGTCTTTTAGACAATTTTATTTTTGCATTAAAAAAGATGTTGGTGATTTTTTTGTTTAATTAAGTAGCACACAATAAGAACTTTCTTGGATTTTTTTTTTCTTCTCATAGTTTTTTGGTTCAAGGTTTAGTGGCCTAAGACCCAAAAAAGGTAAAATACAAACACCCACACAACCCCACTGTGCATGTGCCTATGCCTTATCAGTCTTTCTCAATTTCCTGGCTGCTGTTTGTGAAATGCCTTGCTGAGCAGACTGCAACTAAAAGTTGTTGTTTCTCAAAAAGCAAGCTATCCTGAATCTTATTTTTAACCCGCAGGTAGTATCAGGCTACAGGGAAAAAATGTTGAGATGAGACTTCTTCCTCCTGTTTTGTCAGGACCATAGTCTCTTCTCGGCAGGCAAAATGGAAAAGCAGAGCTTTGAGGGAGGGGAGAAGGCAATTTTCTTTCCTCAATCCCACGGTTAAAGAAATACATCTACTAGTTTTAGTCATTGTTTTGAAACTTGTTTTAAGAATAGAATTGTGGTGTTTAAGGCTGTGAATCCATCAGCAATGAGCTCATTTGTGTGTTCTTGTAATCTTTCTCTAATTGTTTTGAAACAGTACTGTACTTTGGTTAAATTGGTAGGTTGTTGCCACCATGTGGCCATAATGTCATGTAAAATTAAAGAGCAGAATTATTATTTGTACAGCCAAAAATACATTGAGAAACTGTGTTACATTTTAGGGACTGCCTAATGGACGGTGGCGAGTAACTTTTATTAATGAACATTATGGACTGTGTGACACATATCCGTCGCTCTTAGTAGTGCCATATAATGCAACAGATGATGATCTCAAGAAAGTTGCTGCCTTTAGGTCCCGAAATAGAATCCCGGTGAGTATTATGTGATGAAAGTTACCTTACAGTGTAGCTACTTTTAGGTATGCATCCAAACAATTTTGGTGAATGTGACACAGAGGGTGCTTTTTTTTGGAAATGGATACAGCAAAGTAGCTTTGATGGGCTGGTGGTTTTTATTGCTTGAATCTAGTGTCTTGACCAAGCCACGTTTCCATTTTTTCCCCCCATAGCAATCACCCATTCCAATTTTGTTGTTACTTTTCCAGTAACAATGGCCAGCATTGCAGATTCCCTTTTCTTAATGAAGTATGAGCCTTAGACTGCCATCTGTACTGGTTTGGCTATTGTTGGATGCACATAAAAAGTTATAGCAAATGTTATTCTTCTGTAAGAAAAGCACATGGCATTTAAACATATTTCCAATGGTCTGTCCTAAAATAAGACCTCATGCATAGTCTCTGTAGTGAATTCTTGGGCTTTTTAGCCCTTCAAATGGGGCTGGGGAATTTAGGATAAACCCATTTGACTTTTTGGGTATATTTCTGTAAGTAAAATTCTTTGAGGTAGGAGAATTCTTATGTATCAGCTCTTTAGAGCACTACAGAAAATATTAATTTATATCACAATACAATTTGTTTTAACTAATATTTCAATTTGGCAAACTCAGAAGAGGTGCTAGATTCTTAGCCAGTATCAGAAAGCTGCCTTGAATCTCAGTTAATTTCAAACATGCAAAACTCAATCTGATAAATATTTATTAGATATGGTATTTACTGACAAGCTAGACCTATAATTATAAATTTACTATATATACACGCATATGTATATGTATAACATCTATAAAACGTATATGTTAAATATATAATGTGTGCGTATAGATCTTATAACCTAGTTGTATCTTCTCTGTCATCTCAAAATTCATGACAGAGCTTTTGTATGCCTGTACAGTAATAGTAATTTTATTCTTGTCAGGAAATAAGCAGTCATACTCGCCCGCACACACACTTACAGGTCGTGTTCCTAGATATACAACTAAGGGTTGTATTTCAGGAGTGAATACTTTCTGAGGGTTTTTTTTTCTTTAACTCTGATTCTTAACTCAGTTCTTTCACTCTGTAACGCATGACTTTCAGACTGGGTAAGAATACTGTTCCTTGATATTCTTCAACGATGAATTTGCAGTTTTTGCCTGCTTCTTGGGGTGCTTATCTTTACTTTCTTGCACTGCAATTGGTTTCTTGTGCAGCTCATTATGTCTTGTTTGTGGTAAGTCCCCTCTGTCTTAGAAGAACAACGGAGGCAGCATGCACTCTGCTCTAGTGCCTCCTCTTTGTAAAGAGGGCTGAGGAACAAAATGTACTTTAAAGAGAAGGGGAAACATTGAAGATGCTGCAGAAAGGTTCAACTTTCCTTCCTTATTCAAAAAAAAAAGGGAAGAGTTGTTCGTGTAGAATTGGAGCATCTTAGTCACCGTTTCTACAATGAGTTCATTTTTCTGAATTGTTTCTTAGTTTCAGCAGGCATTGCTATGTTTGTTTCCAGTTTGCTGTTCATAATTATTTGAGCAACCTAAGACTTGTAGGCAAATATTAAAATATACTGGATTATATAGGTTAAGTATAATGTAAATTAGTTAAATATTTAGGAGAATGAACTCTTTAAAAGATTATTACTAAATTTTATGAGACTAAAATGGAAGCAGTTGAGACGTCTGGGAATTACCTTTTGAAGAAATAAAAGAAAAATTGTTAATTTTCATATCTCTTTAAAATTTAAGTTACATTCTTTAAAAGTTAATATTTTTAAATAAAATTTATTTCTTCTAATGTGTTTTTGACATGTGATTAGGTTCTGTCATGGATTCATCCAGAGACTCAAGCTGTTATTATGCGCTGCAGTCAACCCCTTGTTGGAATGAGTGGCAAGCGGAATAAAGATGATGAAAGATATCTTGATATCATCAGGGAGGCTAATGGGCAAATCTCAAAACTGACCATCTATGATGCTAGGCCCAATGTCAATGCAGTTGCAAACAAGGTAAACAGATGCTTAATGTTGAGAGTCTTACTTGTGAAGGGGAGTGGGGAGGAGACTTAGTTTGAAGTTCTCTGTGAGGAGGTTTTTGGGAACAATAGTAATCTTAATGTAGATAAATTTACCTAATCAATATATATTTACATAATCAAATACTGAGACTCAAGGCCACAAAAGGATGTGAGTGCCTAAAGAAGGTCATAAGTTCAGGACCATATGTGGATTTCCAGACATGCTTTACCCTGTCTGTTATCAGTCAAGCACAGATCCTAGCATGGGACTGAAATCAGATATGACTACACTTTGCACTGTGAGGTAGGTGTAGGCTGAGCTGTAGAGCATGTCCTCTGTTGGAATGACATGCCACCTCTGTGCAAGCCACAGCTCTGCTACATAGCCTCTGGGAAAACTCTATCCTGGAAAGTCATGTGCATAAAGCCAAGCCCACTGATAGGCATCCTTTGTTTGGTCCTTCCTAACCATTACATGAACCACTTCAGACCTATGCAGGCATCCAGCAAATAGTGACAAATAAGTTAATTTTGGGGCTTGCACTCTAAACAGCAGTATGGGTATGATCTTGGATACCTAGATACCTCTCTTCCCTAGGTGCTTGTAGTTGGTAAGTGCAGTTACAGAAGTAGTGTTTCCATCTGACAAAGTGACCTTTGCTAACCTGTGATCAAAGCCTCAAGGGGATCAGAATCATAGAACAGCCCAGGTTGGAAGGGACCTCAGAAGATCATCTGGTCCAACCTTTCAAGAAGAAAAGGTGTCCCTGTGCCTTGATTTCCACTCTGCCCCACCATCCCCAACTCTGGTGAGGACCAGATTGTTCAGGTATATGCAGATAATACCAGTCACAGTGTGTCAGTGTTGTATTTGACATAGAGCACAGCAGACATGGGTGTGCTCCATGTTTATATGAAAAACCTAGTTAGGGGAGAGGTGGTGAAGGACACAAGTTTATTGCTTTCTTCATATGAGAATGTGCCAACTTCACTCCCTCCATGTCTAGGATAGTCAGTTACCTACTGAACTTGAAGAACAAATGAAGTGGACGTGTTCTTCAATACTTACTAGTGAAGTTGTATATCTGCACAACAAAGAGCATGAGACAACGAGCTCAAGAGGGTTTGAGATATTAATGAAACAATGAATGTGCTTATTTGGGAGAAAAGGAGTTCTAGCTTCTGAATAGTTTTTTGGCACAAAATGAACACTAATTTAGCGGAATGAGTCCTTTTTATTGTTTGTGCTGAAAGGAATATGAAATGGTAAAACTTGTTTGCCTCTAGGAGGCTTATATGTAACAAATGTTAAGTTGCTTCAGAATTCAAGGCTGCTTTTTTTATTGTGCAGCACACATTCTTTCAGAGACTATATCCTAGGTGCTGTTTGGCTAGGTTTTAATCTGATGGTTTGTATTCTGAGGGTCTGCCTCAAATGCTTTCATTTTACTTTAAATTGCGTTATTCTCTGCACACTGAATTTTTATGGGTGAACAAAACATGTAATCATTCTGTTTGTCTTGTGGAAAGAATGTCAATTCTTACAGTAACTTAAATTTTTCCGCTGTTCTTAGACACTCAAATTTTTACCCCATTTGTTTCAAAGATGTATCGTGGCCAGACTGTATACCCACATACTTACTGAAGTATGAAGCACAGTTTTCAGCTTTTTTAAATGGTCTATGTATTTCACCCATGTATTTTAATTAACTTCTGATATGTCTAACTGTGAAATACTCAGTCATAGCAGTAAAAGCAGTAGGGTGCATTTCTGGGTCTGAGGGACAATGACATACAGAGTGTAAGCTAGTGTTGATCAGCATCGAAAAAGTTTTCTTGAACAGCTGTGAAGATCAGTATAAGCAAAATCTTGGGCTACACTACTCATGCATTCCT